GCCAAAAGGTTCAAGTCTGCAAGCAATTTCCCATTTCCAGACACCATTAGAAATTTGGCCTACTTCCATAATGTTAGCATTCCTATTTGATGCTAGATTAAATAGTCTAGGAAAGATGACATTCAAAGATTCTGTTCCTACCCATTTATCTAACCAAATTTAATTTTGTCACTCATCCCCAACTTCCAACAAAACCCGTCCCTAAATATTTTTTAACTTAAAATTTGTTCTAGGTTTTTTACTTAATTTTATTTCAAAATAATATCTGTTTTTCAAATTTTAAAAGAAATAAATATTTTTTCTACTTTAATATTATTGTTATATTTTAATTTTAAAAATAATGATTGGTATATTTTCTCATTAAATAAACTTTATAACACACGCACTTATTAATAAATTATTATTTTTAAATTTAAATTTAAGACAAAAAAAATTTTAATTACAAAATTTAATGATTAAATTAATGAGTATTGATGGGTATGTTGAAGTAGACAATGTACTAAACATTTTCTTAATTTTAATTATGCATCCTATCACAAAAAATAATTTCTCATTATCTTTTTTTATCTTTTTTAAATGAAATATAAATAAAATAATTATTCCCAAATCCTTAATTAGAAATAAAATAAAAATAAGTCTGTTATTTTGAAATGGAAGGAGAAATACTAAACCTAATCCTACTTGGCAGCCAACTCAACCCTCAATGCCATGTGTGCTCCTTATTTTTCATAAATGAACTATTATGGTTTTTATCATAAAAAAATATATATATTATTGTTTTCTGATAATGAGAATTTATTGTAAATTTTACAATGTTTTCATCTTATTAAACAAATGAATGCTTATTAATTGGTCTAATAGACCCCTCATTAAATAGCTCAATAAAAATTAAGACACGTCATATTGTAATATTTTATTAAGAAAGAACATTCTCAACTAATCATATTCCTATAGCAAATTAACTGCTTTTGTTCTGGTTTAGGGTTGTAAATATGCATATTGCTTTAGTTCTATTGTTCTAGTGTAAGACTTTATATTGAAAAGGCTCAAAATTTTGTTGCTTTTCTTTTGCGGTTATTCTATGCTTTTTTTCTGATTTGAAGAAGCTATATCTTTTCTGGGAATTTTATTCCCTCTCTGGTTGAGGGTGGTTCATGGTTGCCTTCGTTTCCTATTTTTTTTACCCTTTTCAAGTCCCCTGTCTTCTTATTCTAGCTTTTCCACCCTTTCCACCCTTTACAAGTTCCCTATTTTTGGCCCTAACACTCTATACTACATGTTTTATTTGTTATCAGTATCCACCAAAGAAGTCAATCCCGTACCGGTCGGTACGTACCGGTTTTGACACTTGATCGAAACGGTACAACATCAAATTTCGTTTCGGTCAAAATTCGGCCGTTTCTGTCAAAATCTGGTGTACCGGTCGGAATTTTGTGTACCGGCCGATACACCAAAATATGACCGATACACCTAAGTTCAAACTAAAAAAAAAAAACAATGGATTTCCGATTGCAGATCTGTTTCTGTTCTCCTTCTTCATCACGAATGACGAACGCCACACGCCGCACACCGCGAACATCTTCCTCAACCTGTCATCGGTGGGTTGGAGATTCAGGGAATGCTTCGCTTCCGTGATTACCGGCTAGATCTGCTTCATCTTCTCCCCATTTCTGGTAGCTGCCGAACCCTTTTGCTTTGGTGATTATCGGTGATGAAGGTGGAGGCTGTGATGATGATGAGATGCTTAGCAAGGGGATGGTGAAGATCCGAGGTGAAAGAACGGAGG